TCTCAAAAAGCATAGGTCGCAGATTTTGGTTATTTTCTGAAAGCTCATTGACTGTTTTGCAATAACTCCATAACCATTAGAAAGAGAATGAAAGGCTGTTTCGAATGCTACCAAGAACTTTTAGAAACCTTTGTTCCATCAGATGTGACGCCCGTTTGAAAAAAGCGAAATTACTTTCGGAATGACCTAATATATGTTACATGATGACAAAAAAGAAAAATCAAATACTAAATTTATAAATGTTAGAGTTGAATACATTCACAACATACTATCAAGTTAATTTTGATACAGTTATCAATAGCACTTATATAAAAAACATTTTAGAAAACACTAACGTAAAATACAGCCCTTGCAGACTGGTATACATGTATGAACAGCCAATATCACAGAAAATCTTCATTTACAATTCTATCCTTAATAAACTTGACATAGACAAATTAAAACGAATTCTTTCAGAAAAATGCAATTGCAAGGAACCTGATAAAGAAAAATATATTGACACCAACCACGGACATATAATTACCCTATTTTCAGGTGTATAAGCCGCACTTTTTCAAATTTCCACAAGCTGCTCAACCGCTTCATTGTGTTTCGAGAAGCGATCCTTGTGCTGCACGATTCTTTCAGGCAATAAGTAGCACGGTGTAGGGTCCTTTGGTTGCGAGGTTCTTTGATGTGTTTGGGCTGATCGACGTAAGCTAAGACCACCCCGCGGCTTATACACCTGAGAATAGGGCACTGGAAATCTAGATATTAGGTTGGCACGAAAGTTCTGTCCCCCCATTTTCAAAATTCATAACTTCCGATTTTTTAACCAATTTGGCTGCTTTTATTTTTGTATGAAAGAGTAACTCATGCCTTTACAATGACATCTTAGCTGTTTGCTAATGATCATTTGTTGCATAGATAGGAGCGATAGAAGAAAATTAGTCAAAATTTGAATTTTCTGTGTAAGGTCATAAAAAATCGAAAACTTGCAAGAAAAACCGGAGCAGTCAGTATTGTAGGTTCTTTTACCAGCTCTTTCTAATGGTGCGAAGTTTGCGCCGATTGAGTGTTTCTATCAAAAGTTATGGTTTTCGAGCAAGCAATACAAAAGGGCAAATTTGATTTATTTGGCATTTTTCAGGGAAATCATAACTTTTCATAGAAACGCTCAATCGACGCAAACTTTGCACCATTAGAAAGAGCTGGTAAAAGAACCTACAATACCGACTGCTCCGATTTTTCTTGCAAGTTTTCGATTTTTTATGACCTTACACAGAAAATTCAAATTTTGACTAATTTTCTTCTATCGCTCCTATCTATGCAACAAATGATCAATAGCAAACAGCTAAGATGTCATTGTAAAAGCATGAGTTACTCTTTCATACAAAAATAAAAGCAGTCAAATTGCTTGAAAAAATCGGAAGTTATGAATTTTGAAAATGGGGAGACAGAACTTTCGTGCCAACCTAATATCTAGATTTCCAATGCCCTATTCTCAGGTGTATAAGCCGCGGGGTGGTCTTAGCTTACGTCGATCAGCCCAAACACATCAAAGAACCTCGCAACCAAAGGACCCTACACCGTGCTACTTATTGCCTGAAAGAATCGTGCAGCACAAGGATCGCTTCTCGAAACACAATGAAGCGGTTGAGCAGCTTGTGGGAAAATTTGAAAAAGTGCGGCTTATACACCTGAAAATAGGGTAATTATATGTCCGTGGTTGGTGTCAATATATTTTTCTTTATCAGGTTCCTTGCAATTGCATTTTTCTGAAAGAATTCGTTTTAATTTGTCTATGTCAAGTTTATTGAGGAAAGAATTGTAAATGAAGATTTTCTGTGATATTGGCTGTTCATACATGTATACCAGTCTGCAAGGGCTGTATTTTACGTTAGTGTTTTCTAAAATGTTTTTTATATAAGTGCTATTGATAACTGTATCAAAATTAACTTGATAGTATGTTGTGAATGTATTCAACTCTAACATTTATAAATTTAGTATTTGATTTTTCTTTTTTGTCATCATGTAACATATATTAGGTCATTCCGAAAGTAATTTCGCTTTTTTCAAACGGGCGTCACATCTGATGGAACAAAGGTTTCTAAAAGTTCTTGGTAGCATTCGAAACAGCCTTTCATTCTCTTTCTAATGGTTATGGAGTTATTGCAAAACAGTCAATGAGCTTTCAGAAAATAACCAAAATCTGCGACCTATGCTTTTTGAGATAGTCAAGTTTCACAATTTTTTAAAACTTTCATATCAATTCTCAGAAGAAGTTCAAAAGACGGTTCGATAGAGCAAACCTCATAGAATACAGTGCTACTTTTTTCTCTTTTCCATAGCTTGTCATACATTTTTGACAGAATTTTAACTGATGCTACTGATTTCCATACTTGGACAGCTAGATCTAGTAGAACATCCAACCTTGAGCAGCTCGGGTGCCATTCGATGCAGCTTTTTCTGCTCTTTCTAATGGGTGTTTTTTGTTTCCGATTCGTTTAGTTTCCGGGGAGAAATCATCATAACTCATTTTTTAGCGAGCCCAGGCTGTACCCCGACAAACTCGAAATTTGATATTTCGAACCCGTAAACCCTTACTCGATTTGTAAAAAATAATGCTAACCCATAATACCACCTTGGTAGTCTCAAACTCCGAGAAATTATGATGTTTGATGCGATTGTGGTTGATCTGGGCCTGCCAAAATCTGATGGTTTTGTTAAAAAATATTTTGAAAAATTACGGCGAGCTACGAGAAAGGGAAAAAAGTAGCACTGCATTCTATGAGCTTTACTCTATCGAATCGTTACTTGAACTCTTTCTGAGGATTGAATATGAAAGGTTTAAAAAATCGTAAAACTTGACCATCTCAAAAAGCATGGGTCGCAGATTTTGGTTATTTTCTGGAAGCTCATTGACTGTTTTGCAACAATTTCATAACCATTGGAAAGAGAATGAAATGCTGCATCGAATGCTACCAAGACCTCTTAGAAAACTTTGTTCCATCAGATGTGGCGCCCGTTTGAAAAAGGCGAAATTACTTTCGGAATGACCTAATATTTACACCGAATACTCAATGTAATTGACTTTTTATTTTGTTCTATTTTGTTTAGAAATTCGGGATCAAAGGATGCTATGATTATTTGTTTTATGAAGTTTTTCTTCAAAGAGTGTATATATTTGAAAATGTCATGTTGGGTGATTGTATGGTTAATAGTGTTAACGAAGAGGTCTAGGTTTGTTTTGTTTTTATTCTTGTTTTTATTTTTGCTACGTATTCTGTCTTTGATGATTTTCAAGCTGTAATAAGGATGGGTGTCTTTATGTAAGAGAGGATTATTAATATCAGATATGTTTCCATAACCTTTTGTTTTATCATTCAATCCGAATGGGTATGCAGTATTGAGTAATTTGATCCAAAACAATTCTTTATTCATTAATATAGTTCTATTTTCGTTATTTTGAAGACTGTCTAGTATTAGGTTGGCTAAAAAATAAGTTCGTTTTGGCATACAAATTATCATAAAAATTTTTCTTGTGGGTTTCAATCTATGATTCTTTGTGGGAAAGTAGCTCGAAGCCTCTTCTATCACATATCAAATAACCAGGATTTTCCATCGTCAGTGAAGACAGTTATGCCTCAACATGGCAAAATTTCCAAAAGTTCAATCCTTTGACTTCCTGAGCTTCGTTTTCATGCTGTAATGGATGTAAAGAACAGCAGTTTGGTGTTTGGATACAGAGCAGTTTTCCCTATTTAGTAAACAACAAAAAGAACTGTGATCTGCCACTTTGAAAATGTTTCACTAAGAAAACCAAATTTTCTCATATTTGTGCACTATGAGAAAATGGGTGTTTCTCACTTCCTTGCGGATTTTTTTCCTTGGAAAATAAGTTTTACTCAAACAGAATATACGCTCGATACCCAGTGAAGTGCTCTTTCCAGAGATGCCAAACATTGGACAAAAATCTGTCTACAGCATTTGCAAGAGCTAAAAAGCGACCGAACTTATTTATTGGCCAACCTAATATTTTAATGGTTATTTTTTTGTTGCAGCATGTTTTGAAGTGATCGTATAAAAAGTTGTCTATGCCATTCTTTCTTGATTGATAGATGTGCTCTTTAATTCTACATTTAGGGCGTGTTGTCATTCCCACATATTGGAACATGAGCTTGAATTTTATAGCTGTTTTTTTTGCTGATTTGGTGCCAATAGCAGTGCGAACTATCTCATTAATCGAAAAAGCATCAATTAAAATTCACATATGATTTTTTTACCGTCGCAAGCAGTCGGAAGAATGCGACTCTCCATACAGTTCAAAGTTATAACGGTTGCAAAAGATGCATTACCGATTTTCGCGAAAAAAACGCGGACGAAGTGAGCTTGATGCAGTTGGCTCTGCAACAAAGTCGAATAATCTGAATACGGAGTTTATTCGAATACGAATTCGAATAAACATTCGAATAAAACATTCGAATAAAACATTCGGATAAAACATTCGAAGAAAATCTATTCGAAACCCCGTTTTTTTGATTATTCGAGTTTTCGAATAATATTCGAATCCTCGTTTTTTGATTATCGAGTTTCGAATTTTATTTGAAGCCCCGTTTCCTCAATTATCCGAGTTTCGAATATCATTCGAAAATGGAAGAGCTCCGAATATCGAATTTCGAATACGAATATATTCGAATGTTTTATTCGAATGATCAAACTTCTATTCGATTCGGACCCAAGTATATTGCATATCAATCAATGATATTTACTTGTTAAATATAGATCGATAGTGAAAGCTTCACATCACAACATGTTTTTTTCTCTTGTAAAGAACGTCTAAAGCGTATTGATGAATGAATAATTAAGTAAATAACGAGTCTTTTGAGCAGATGGCGCGGATGGCTGAAAATGCAAATCAATCATGAATATAAGAAGTGAATCCCATTATAGCATTGCCAGTCTTGTGTTGGCTTCTTCGTAAAAGCTTTTTTCTGTGACTACGTCTACCTTCTTCAGGAATGCAAGCTGCTTTGTTGGTGGTCCTCATAGGTGTTTGGATCGTTAGTGCCTGGTATGATCCAGTGTTCGTTATTCAGCTCGCGAGGATCTCGAAAAACAGAAGCGACAAAGATTTGCTACACGCTCTCGAAAATAATGCTATTCTAAAGCGGTAGCGTTCTATTTGCATCTGTCTCATATCTTTCGACAGCGAAGCTTTCTAGCACTACGAAAGAAGCAGTTGTCAACGACATTCTTAAAGAGCAAGACGAGAAAACCCAGGTTTGCCAGTCCATTTTATCTAGGCGCAGTTACGAGCAAAACAGGGCCAGCTGAACAAGTTACAGAAAGCTTATGCAGCTATAGTGCAAAAGACAAAGCAGTCGCGTAAAGCAGCCTATGACAAAGTACTATCGAAGGCTGGAGCAGATCAAGCAGTGAAGAACTTCTTTGAACAAGCTGAAAAGATCAACAATGACATGAACATCTCAGATGGTGATGCAGATAGGAAGATGAAGGAAGTGAGTTTTGCGAACGTCGAGGTATGATGACTCTCGGATCACTACATTGTTTCAGTTGAGAGCAAAGCTGAACCAAGAGCAGCGCAAACTTGTGACAGAACTGCAGTTTTACCTGAGATAATTTTCCTCTGGAAGCTGCCGGTAACCGGAAGTTTGTGGTACAACGATTTTTCGCATCTAGTAAACATATAAACCAGTTAACTCATCTACATTCATTTGGAAGGCTTGATAAGTTATGAGCGAGCTTAACGAGAACAAGTATAGAAAATCCCATCTAAATGTCGTAATCGGCGGGCTTGGATCTCCGCGAGCCGCCTCGCTCAGGACGCACCACGCTCGTGAACTGTTTCCTCGGTACATTCCCCGAGCTCTGTCAGCCACTAAAGCCTGAGGACACGGTATTTCCTATGCTTCAAGCACGGAAATACCATACGCGAAATGAGTTCCCGAAGGCGACGAGTGATCCAGGCGAGGCGGTGTGCGACGACTCGAACAGCGCGCGACACCTAGTTGGGATCGCCTGTACTTCATGCAGTTTATCTATACCTTTCAAAACAGAGGAAACAAGGAAATTGTAATTGACTTACTGAAGCAAGTTCAACACGCCTTGAACAGCAAGATCGGGACACAAAGCATAGCGTATAGGTAATATAAATACAATGCCTCTAACGGGACCAGCGTCGCGGAGTGAAGTCACACACCTGCGCGAGAGCGCTACCGTATGCTTACAAGGAAATGGTCAGAAATCGAAGTGGCCAATCCAAACAAGCTGCATTAGATGCAGCATTCAATGCTGACTTCGAATCTGTATTCCTTGTTATCTTAGCGCCTACGTGGAAGAAATCATGAGGCGTTGAATGCCGTTATTCTGCTGAAAAATAGTGCATGCAGAGCGCAAATTTGACAGTACAGAGCCATGTTTGGCTTAATGCTGGGTCAAAAAATGCAGCTAGTTTACTCTGAGTACTCAAAGCCTAAAGGTGAGCTGAACGTGCAACAACGTTCCCAATTTCGCATTTTTTTTGTACGATTTTTTTTGCAATAAAACCGCTCATAACTTCGTCCACAAAGGCGCGAAGCAGATATGGAATACAGAATATTCAAAATAAGCGCTGAATGCTGCATCGAATGGTAGGCCGTTTGTGATTTGCCACTTCGACTTCTGACCATTCCCTTGTTAGCTTATTAGTCCTGCTTTGCATTTCTGAGCTTCCCCTGTCTGAAAACTCTACTTCAGCACTTTTTGAGATTTCTCAAGGTATTGCCTCACGAATGAAAGGCAAAATGGAGGTTTGAGGTCTTTCGAAAGAAACTGTAATCTAACTTTCTCATTTCTAAGCTCTGAGAACGAGTAGTGCTTTTCCTATTTAGAGCTAAGGATGAATATCGTAAGGATAATCGTATATTGTATAGGTTTGAGAGCAGTTTGAGTGAATAGCGCGTTGGCGCTTTCCACTCAAACTCAAGATATTATGTCCATGGGAACACGATTCGATATAATTGATCATGACATTCGGAATCAACTATCCGAAGGGCTTGGATAAAATGAAAAGTGTCGTGAGGAAAACGCTTGAAGATTTGATATCCCCTTCCTTTGCTGCAAAAAAATCGTATCTGGTATCAAGGCAGATCGCATATGAGCATAGAAGCAAAAAAATGACAATACGTTGCGACGAAAACGGAAAATTACAGATACAATGATAAAAACAAGGCCCGCGAAGTTGTGTGCACACCATGGTCCCTGCACTCTGCGCGTACTTCTACTCCTCTTTCTGGCAGCTCTCCTTTCACTGTGAGACACGCAAAATGCCGAGAAAATCGCGCTATTAATCTTATCCTCGTTTGTTATTTGAGCGTAGTCCAAGTTTGGTAACAGAACTTTATAGCACAGAATACCTAACGTTTCGCAGCATGAATCAAATTTATGAAAGGGCGCTGTCGTATCCTAAGCTTCATCTCCACATTTCGATGATCGTTCACTTTCTTTGTCAGTTGAGTAGTAATAATAATAAAGTTTTGGGACCTCAGTATTTGAAGTTCTTGCGGTGTTTGGTGAAATTACGCTTACAGTGTTAGAAATCAAGACTGAATTTTTGAACTTCTAAAAGGTAAGCTGGAAAAGATGAAAAATTGCTTCGGTTTGCAAAAGATTTGCCCTAAGTGCTGGTTATCAAGACTCCTCCAAAAGTCCCAAATAAGGATTTTAAAAGTTAGCACAACTCAAATGTCTCAAAAATAAAAGCTTGTAAGCTTTGATTACTATCTAACGCTTGCTAAAGGAATAGCATTTCGAGCACAGCTGGAAAGAGTAAGAAAGTTTCCATCAGATATACTCGTGATACCCTTTGTCTTTACTCTACCATATTTGCGGGTGAATTCGCAAACTGACAAAACTTTTGCACCAACCTAATATTATTTAGCCAAAAAGAGCACATACACAACTATGAAAGATATGGGCAACTTCATCAAAGTATTGAGTTTGAGCTTTCATGATGAGATGCGAATTAAATTACAAATAGACAACTATTCGATTTTTTTACCACAGCTTCACTGACAAGGGCACTTGCATGGTTCCTTACAAAGTCTCAATTGAATAGAATCAAAAGAAAATTCTGCAATGAATTTCGTATGTACGGAACTTTCCAGCGATTTGTATGAGGCAGATCAGGCCGTTAGATCGAGCTTGAACAAAATCTTGAACAAACAAAATTTTCATGAAAATGATATCCGGTGTCGGGACGGCACTACAAATGCCGGATTTCGATTAGAGCTCGATATCTACCATTTCTGCTACGGCAGCGCCGGTACCCCAGCGGAGCTGTATCTCTCCTTTATCATTTCAGCCGACATAATCGTTGCAGTCTTGTTTCGACCTTATTCCAATTCTCTTCATCCTTGCAGTACCGTGTTGCTGTCATCAAAAGCTTTTTTGTGGATCTTGCCTGACTTCTTCGCCATCTCCAGTATCCGGGCCCAAAATTTCAAAGTCGTGAATTTCGCTATAACTCCGTCTGGGGGGGGGGGTTATCCGACATGCTGGCCATGATTATCACACTCTATCTATTAAAAATGTCATTTGGTGGGTGTGTGGGTCGGGCGGTCAAACGGAGCTATTCGGCTATCCGGGCCCAAGAATTTTTCGTCATGGATTTTGCTGAAACTTGGCCCAGGGGGGGGGGTTATTCAGCACGCTGATCACAGATATCGTACTAATTTTGTACGGTAGCGTCATTTTCTGGGGTTACGGTGAGTATACGGTAGGGGGCTACAAAGCCAAAATCATGGATTTGCCCGAAACTTGGCAGGGGGAGGGGAGGGGGGCAATTTGACATACTGATCACAGACGTTTCGTTTTACCTCACGAAAACGTTTTCATGTGCGGATATTAGGTATACGGTGGAGCGTAAGGTAGCGGCAAATCTTCTTGGTCTGTTCTTGCTTAAGAAAAGCTGCTGCAGAGTGTGTCGCGCGTTACGATGGTCCTGTATGTAAGGCATGACGGTACGGCGAGTCGGTCTACACTCAACACCAAAAGCAAAGTTTCGGGCAAATTTGACATGTTTTACCCATACCGTAAACCTACAGTAACTTCACAGAAAGGCCCCATCATGCGAAAAGAGTACGATTTAGTGATTAGCTGTCGGATAGCCCCCTAAGCCAAATTCGAATCCATGATTTTGACTCCCTACCTTACATCCACCGTAATTCCAAAAAACGGCGCTATCTAAAACTAATCTGATATTCGGGGGAAACGGCCCTTTTGAACCGCTCGCTATCACGGCGCGCCTCTGATCAACATGTCCACAAACATTGACAAGACTGTGAGTAGGACGGATCTTCATTTTTCTAGATCTTTCGTGTCCAAAATGATGATAGATTTTAGCACAGGTATATTACATGCTTCAAACCAAGAATTTTCCCCGTTGACTGTGAATGCAACTTGTTAGCTCCGCCAGGGGCGCCGCACGCGGCGAAACGGGCATCGCGCGAAGGGTTCAAAAGGGCCTACACCCGATATTCGGCATCAGCTGGTCGATTAACTCTCTTAGATCGAGCTTAAACAAAATCTACGGCTTTGAATTCTGTTCGCTGTTACATTTTGTGGTGGAGATTTTCGCTTCGTTATCTTTGATGGTTCGATCATATGTCTGAGATGCATTATTGCAGTTCGGTGCCCCAAGATGTTGGCAAAGGCCATGTTTCACATTTGTCGAAAAAGGCCATATTTTCTGCCATGTGTTTTTTCATATTTTCTGAGGCCTGACTCGACAGATTTCAAGTAATCAGTCTAGCGATTTAAGTGTATAAGAAGGTGGCATGAAAAAGATATTTATTTTTGAGAGCCACAAGCTAGGGATCAAACTGCGCGCGGTGACTGCTCTGCCCCACACACAGAGATAATTCTGTCCCATGTCCCACAAGGACTCTCCTGTGCTGAAGTACAATAGCACATCGGCAGTCTAAGTGGGGGGGGGGGGGGAGTGGCGGCAGATACATCACACGATGCCATAAGTAGCATTGTGACAGGATTAAAGACGGGAGCTGACTCTTGCACTGCTTGACGTCGTCGTGCGGCATCTACTTCTGATCCGTACCTATTGTTAAGCCATCTAATCAGCAGAAATATCACGTTTATCGAAAAATTGGCGCTGCCATAGCAGAAGTGGTAGATATTGCGCTCTAGTCGAAATCCCGCATTTGTAGTGCCGTCCCGATACCGGATATCGATGAAAATCAGCTCGTGGTCGCAAAAACAGCTGTCATTAATAATACTACAAATGTATATCACCAAGTCGATCCAAGAGGAGCACTTTTTGTATTTTCTTTTTTCTTCGTCTTTGTTTAGAAAAGACTATAACACTTCTATGTTGTTTCGGGACAGCTACTAAATTTCGCGACTCAAATATACAGCGTTTATGAGACACTGCTAACAGAAGACAAAAAAAGAGATTGCTACTAATTTCACACTGCTGTCAACGTTATGAAGCTTTCAGATATTGGTGGGAATGTAGATGTAGCATTTAGCTCCCTATAAGAAATAAAGCCGAAGCAAATGGACACTATTATGACATACAAAATTTTTGTCCAAGACCTCTGCCTCGTGTAACATGCTGCATTTAG